TATTCTTCTCATCTTTTACTACAAAACGTAATTTTACACAACTTAATATTAACGTAATTTTACACAATTTAACATTACATGTGAAAATTTTGTGAAAATATTATTGTTAACTGAGGCACACAGTCGCATTTAAATATCACGATACACAAGTTATGGAAATATTTATTACATTACTAATTACTGTGCGCACTACTGTGCATTGGAAATTATTAGGTGCTTGCAAAAGTTCGTAAGGCTGTAACAATGATTTAGTAGTTTTCTTTTTAGTTTTTAAATGTTGTCTATACTCAATCAGAATTGATGATTGACAATTCATAGAACAAAACGTTACATTTAACGCGATTGAAGATGGAACCTGATAAAGTTCACTGTATGCTTTACTACAATACTTTAATCGAGATGAAACTGCTGCAACAACTAAAAGTCTAATTTGAGAGAATATTTATAAATAATAATAATAATAATAATAATAATAATAATATATATATATATATATATATATATATATATATATATATATATATATATATAAAGAGAATATCGTCCGCTATTCTACTTTCTGTGGTTTAAAAGGTTTAGAAATGGTGATTATAAGGTCAACAAGCTATACTCTGATGGTTCAAACGAGGTGGAGAACAACGAATTAAAAATATTGCTTAACGAAAACTCGGTCAAAATATTAAAAAAGCTTGCAGAACAGCTCTAAAGTTGATGAATCAAGAATATATCGTCATTTGAAAGCAATGAGAAAGATCCAGAAGAAAGTAAGATGAATTGTCTGCAAACCGATTGCCAACCAGTTTATCATCTATTTTTCATTGCTTGTCAGGCATAGAAAACATTTTTGTGATAAATAGTTATGGATGATGAAAAGTGGATATTTTCAACGCAATTCTAAACGCAAAAATTCCGGCTAATCATCGACATTTACAACAAATGCAACATCTATAGTCATAGTATTCTCTTGTATAACTGGTGGGGCCAAGAAAGAGCGTTTTACTATGAGCTATTACTGTTCACAGAAGTCACAGGAGTTAACAATGGCGTTTGAATCAAGCCATGAAGGAAAATCACCTTCAAATAGCTGCAAATTGACGCTAAGATGTCCAGCTTCACAATAACGTTATTGTTGCGACTAAAGAGACTTTATTTGAATTAAATTAGGAAGACCCTGTCGCATCCAGCGTACTCTCCAGACGTCGCCGCATCTAATTTCCACCTATTCGATCGATACAGCGCAATCTATCCGAAGTAAATATTGAGGAAATGCGAAAATCTAAAACAATAAGTTATTTTTTGGTACGGGATCAAACTATTACCCGAAAGATAGAAAAGATAGAAAATTATTAATGGCCAATATCTTGATTAAAATATTATGTTATCTCATTGTTATTAATAAATAAAAGTGATTTTAATATCACACGAACTTTTGCAAACACTTAATATTAGCTGTTATAGCAAGAAGTGCGACCATTATATTCGTTTGAACGATCCATGTCAAAAACCAAAAGAATACTGTCTCCTTCTGTCTACGAAAAATTACTCCCACTCTTAATACAGCATCAGTGCGCATACTCTCGGAATTCTTAAAACACGAAAGTTTAACTCGCATTATCGTCAATATTTCAGCAACCAGAACGAATATGACGAACACGAGGATGTATTATCGTCTTGTCGACATGCTTAACTGGCGGAAGGGATGAGTGAATAAATTATCGTGAGAGTGTATGAAACGAGTGGTATACATCGGCTGGCAGAATACCGCATTCGTTATCGTTCGTCTTTCGTGTTTCTTTCGTTTTTCTACTGCTATACGTTTTTATGTACGCAAAGTTGTGACCATGCGCGATGAAATTCTGACATGACAGTACGAGCCGAGTCTGGTCGCTGAAAATTTTAGCAGAAGCGTGGAACTGTTGCACGTTGTTCAAATTTTTTATCTTGCTGTTAAAGTTTGGTAAAGAAAATTACTGCCAGATGAGCATTTGGATGATGTATTATTAATGAATCTTCAGTCACGGACCATTTTCAGCAGACAGTTAAAATATAGTTATATGACGAGAAAACCGATGCTAGTGTCGGTTTAAGGAATTTATTTGCCATATAAGTATATATTTTTAAAGCGCCCAAGAGGTGTATTTTCAGTGGTGCTTGCTCTTACTTACCATTTACTTAAAAAGATTTACTATTTATCGAATAAAATTACTTTTTTATATACTTATTTTACTATCTAAATAATAAATATTAATTTAAATATTAATTTAAAATTAATTTCTTATTTCTCGCTAAATAAAATTAATTTCATGATATTCTATTCTGCTACATTTTACTTAGTACAATGCTATTCAAAACATAAAGCAACAGTTTTCTGGACTATAATTGACAATTGCCTAAAAATGATGTAATGAATTCTATTCTTTTTTTAACCTTTAGGCTGCCGGAATTTTTTCATTAAAACAGTGAGTTTTTTTTCTCAAAAGTTTTTCTATATAAGTAACATGGCGCAGAATTTTGAGGTTTGTGCAAAGCCACAAAAGTGGTTTTTCCGGCAGGAAACACACGATTAAATATAAGAAATTTTTATTTTCTCAAAAATAGTGTATTTGCACTGTTAAATCTATAATGTCAAATTATACTCAATTTGAGTTATTTTTAACCATTCCTATAAGTCCCCACTGCCTACTAAATATCGTTAATTTAACTAATGTAATGGAGTTGAATAATTTAACTTAAGAAATGTATTAAATTTGACTAAAATTTAGTTTATTTTTTATTGTGCATACGTTAATGTAACCTTTGTTTTAGTAAAAAATGACTTAATATTATTTTAAATGGGTTGATTAGATGTGATTGTTTTTTTAGACACATGTTTTGTGTTAAAATAGTAAATTTTGACACACATGATAGTTAAAAATAACTAAATATTATTTAACTCAAGAAATTGGTTTAAATTTGATCCTCCAATAATTAACAGTGTGAGAGTTTTTGGTATCGCTGATTCCAATCCTGAGCATAGATTTATGAAATTTTGAGTCCTAAGCGCAATATTGACAATATAAGTAAATATAAACATGTAGATTCATGCAGTTTTTTTGCTTGCTTTTTTTAATGTTTAATTTTTGTATTTTTTTACTTTTTTGCTTGTTTTATAATTTTTTGATTTTTTATATTTTATTTTTTTTATTTTTCAATATTTATATTTTTTTATACATTTTATGATTTTTTAATGTTGATTTTTTTCCGTAATTATGATAAAATTTCTTTCAAATGATAATTTAATTTATTAAAAAAGTTTAATAAATTAAACATATTCTAATAAACTTGTTTAATTAACAAATTGATTATTCTTTATAGGAATATGCTTAACGAAAAATAATTTGAATTTCCAGGATAGAAAATATCTGATGCTATGTAGCATCAATAGATATTTTCTGTTTTGGAAACTCGAATTTGTAATTATTTTTCATTAAACAGATTTCTGTAAAGAATAATTAACTTGTTAATTAAGCAAGTTTACTAGAATATGTTGGACTTCCGTTTCCGGTAGCTGGAGTGACTGACGTATGTGTGGAAGTGTGTGTAGTGAGAAAGAATTTTCAGAGGATAGGGAGGGTGTGGTGGAGGGTGAGGTGGTGAGTGGATAGGGAAAGAGCAAGTGGTGTTGGGAGAGTGAGGGGAAGGGACGGGGGAAAGGGGGTTAGAAGGCAGAGGTGAAAGTAGGCGGGTGGGATTTGGAGGTTAGACGGGTAGAAGAAAGAACGGGTCGAGAACGGTGATAGAGTAGATAGTAGAGAGGAAGCGGGTAAGAAGGGGGAGACAGCGACACCGCAGGTAGAACTAAGAAGTAGAGAAGGAGAGAATAGGAGGTAAAGCGCGAAATTTGAATTGGACAAAGTTGATAGGATAGGAGAAAGACAGGATGCAGGAGGGAAATGGGGTAAGAGAGGGAAGAAGGGAGAAGGGAAAGGAGGAGGGGGGGATAGGGGAGGAGAAGAGGAAGGTGGGAAGGCCGAGTAAGGTGGAAAGTTTAGCGAGGGGTAGGGCAAACAGTGTGCCTATATTAGAATCCTTCAAGAGAGGAGAGAAAAGGAAAGAGATTCAGGGGGAGGAGGCAGGAGCGGGGGAGGGAGAAATTTTTAAGAGGAGCGCAAGGGTAATGATTTCTCCGGTAAGAAAGGAAGAGGGGGGATTGGAAGAGATATTAAGGGAGGTAAGGGAGGGTTTTAAGGAAATGAGGAGAGAGTTGAGAGAAATGAGGGAAGATAGAGAAGAGATGAGAGAGGGGATGGAGGAAATGAGGAAAAGATTAGACGGATTGGAGAAAAGAGTGGAGGATATAGAAAAGGGTGGAGGGGGTGAAGGCGAGAAGGGAGGAAGGAAAAAGGTTGAAGAGGAGGGGATGGTGCAGGTAGGGATAAGGGGTGAGGGAGAGGTAAAAGGATTAGAAGAAAGAATGAAGAAGTTAGAGTTAGAAGGAGAAAGGAGGAAGAGGGAGGAGAGAAAGAGGAATGTAATTATTAAAGGGGTTAAAATAAAGGAGGTGGGGATGGAGGGGGTAAGAAAGGAGGTGGAGAAGATAGTGGGGGCAACGGGAGCAGTAGTGAAAGTAGAGGGAATAAGGAAGCTGGGGAATAAAGATAAGGAAGGGAGGGAAATGGTGTGGGTAAGGTTTGCGAGTGTCGGGGAGAAAATTGATGTGATGAAAGGGAAGGTGAAGCTGAGGGATAGGAAGGAGTGGATACTGGATGACTTGACGGAAAAAGAGAGGAGGGTGGAGTGGTGTCTAAAGAGGGAAGCAGAAAGGTATAGGAGGGAAGGTAAGGTAGTTAGGGTGGGATATATGAAAATGTGGATAGAAGGGAAATTATGGGTGTGGGATGAATTTAAAGATGAGTTAAGGGAATGGAAGGGAAGGGAGGTAGGAAAGGAGGGGAAGGAAAAGGGAGGAGGGAAAGGGGCAGACTTAGCGAAAGAGGTTTTTTAGAAGAAGGGGGGAGGCAAAGAGAGGGTGAGAAAGAAGTGAACAGGAGGATAAAATACGGGAAAAGAAGGGGGAATAGAAGAAAAGGAGATGGTAAAGAATACAAAATTGGTTACTGGAACGTGGCTGGTATGGAAAATAAGGAGGAGGGTTTTAGAGAGAAACTGAAGGAATGGGATGTGATGTTTTTGAGTGAGACATGGTTACAAAGGAAAGGTTGGGAGAGGGTGCAAAGATGGTTGCCGAAGGGATATGTTTGGGAAGTGCAGGAGGCGGGAAGGAAGAGTAAAAGAGGGAGAGCTATGGGGGGAATGATTGTAGGGATAAGGGAGGGAATAAGGAGAGAAAAGGAGAATAGGGTAGAGAGGGGAGAAGGAATTCAAATGGTTAAAGTAAGGTTAGGGGAAGAATGGTGGAGGTTAGTGGGAGTGTATGTTAATGGAGATTTAGAGGAGAAAACGAGGCGAGTAAGAGAGTGGACGGAGGAGAAAGAGGAAGGGGTGAGAGTGTTAATAGGGGGGGACTTTAATGCAAGAACTGGAAGGGAAGGTGGAGGGATGGAGGAGGAGGGAGAGGGTGGGGTATGGGAGAGAGTGAGGAAATCGAAGGACAAAAAGATGAATAGGGAAGGGAGGAGATTGTGTGATTATGTAAAGGAACTTGGATGGTCGATAATGAACGGATGCACAAAAGGGGATGAGGAGGGGGAATTGACATATACGGGAGGGAAGGGGGGGACCGTGATAGATTATGTGATAGGAAATGAGGAGACGAGAGGGAGAGTTAAAAAATTGAAGGTGGAGGATTGGGTGGACTCTGATCACCAGCCGATAACGGTGTGGGTGGAGGGGGGAGGGTATAGGGAGGTGAGGCCCAGGAAGGGAATGGCGAGAGGAAGGAGAGGGGTGTGGACGAAGGAGGGAAGGAGTAAGTTTGAGGAATATGTAGGAAAGAGGGACGACGAGGGTGAAGGGGTGGAAGAGGGATGGAAGAAGCTGAAGAGGAGGGTGGAAATTGCCTTAGAGAGAGTAGAGAGAGAAGAAAAAGAGGAGAAGAGAGGATGGTGGGATAAGGAGTGTAGGGAGATGAAAAGAGATGTTGAGGAAGAGTTAAAAAGGTGGAGGGAGAGAGGAGGAGAGGGCGAGAAATTTAAGGAGAAGAGAAAAGGGTATAGGGTGCTGTGTAAGGAGAAAAAGAGAAGGGAGAAAGAAAGGTGGGAAAGAGAAGTGGAAGGAGTGAGGTCAGAAAGAGATGTTTGGAGGGTGGTAAATAAAGGAAGGAAAAAGAGAAAAAGAATAAGGGAAGGGATTGAAATGAGTGAATGGGAAAGGCACTTTAGAGGAGTACTGGGAGGGGTAGAGTGGAGGGTGAGAGGGGATGTGAGGAGTAGAGGGGAGGAGAAGGAGGAAGGGATAAGCAGGGAGGAAATTGGGAGGGCGATAAGGAAGCTAAAGGAGGGAAAAGCGGCGGGAGGGGATGGGATAGTAAACGAAGTGTGGAAATATGGTGGAAAAGAAATCAGGGAATGGCTGT